TCTCTGTCTCTCTCTCTCTGTCTCTCTGTCTCTGTCTCTCTCTGTCTCTCTGTCTCTCTCTGTCTCTCTCTCTCTGTCTCTCTGTCTCTGTCTCTCTCTATCCCTCTCCTTCCCTCCCTCCCTCTCCCTCATTCTCTCTCCATCTTTTCCTACATCCCTTCCTTATTCCTTCCAGTCATTTACCCGCTCATCCACCTGCCTGTCCCCCATCCATTCACCCCATCCCTCTGTCTTCTCCCCCTACCCTCTCTTTGTCCTTTCCTCGTTCCTCCAACTTACCCAGCACCTACCCATCTTCTCTCCTTCCATCATCTGTCTTTCCCGCCCCCAACCTGTCCATCCACACGTTGAGTTCCTTCCATTGCCTCGAACCAGGCTTGAAATGTACCCCCTGTTGCCATTCAGTCTTGGCACCATTGCGCCGTGGAACTGCTCCCATTCCCGTTTAACACGAGGGAATTTGAGGCTCAGACACACCACAACCTTTGGCCAAAATGCATCTGTTACATAGTGTGAGGAGCAGCTGTGTTCCCAGGGCATTATGGGTTCTGCCTCACACCTGCTGAGCCTATGGCCAGGTCACCAACAGACACCACAGCAGGTTCTTCAGCCTTATAACCCTCTGACATATCTGCTACAGAAGTCTTTGTTGAGTAGAGTATCTTCTTCTATGATGTTTAGAATCTCTAGCTAGATACTAGTCACAACCCTCCACAACCGAGGCATGATCAATAACTCCTCAGGTTAAAGAACTCTTCCAGCCAAGACTCACTACAGACAGCCATGGTTCTTAGGGAATGGCCAGGCCTCTGCCCCCCAACCCTTCTCTCTTGCACTTCTGTTGGCCATCACCTTTATAGACATAGACATATTTTTGTAGGACAAGCCACACGGAAAGCAGAATGGCTTTGTTTTCTGTCATCTCAGGGCAGAGCAAGCCTACCTTAGGACAATAAGAGATTACACACACACACACACCTTTCTTTGCTGGCATTTATAGTTTTACTTTGTTCAAGGCCTAAGTCTTATAAGGAACCATCTCAAGACCCGTTGGCTTTGAGCTTGGGTTCCACTAAAGTTTACTGAGTCAACAAGTGAGGGGAAAGAGAAGCAGGATGGGGAAATAAGACAGTTAGCCCCCGGTGGGCAGCAGTGAACTGATTAGTGTGGGGGCAGGGCTTCGGAGGACCTCTGGTGCACTGAGCAGGCCTAAGCAGCGCCAGCTGTAACATTGTGAACCAAGACTTGGGGCGTGCACCCCAGCAGGGCAGGCCTGGCAGAGGAGGGCTGGAGTGATTAGCCAATAGGAAAGGTGAGCGTTGACCAGGCTTGACTTGTGTGAACAGGCATGGTTGAGCAAAGGAGGGATCTGAACTCAGCATCACCCATCACACCTCGTCTCCACTCCAGGACTGTAAGCCCTTCAGTTACAAGACTGAAAGAAAAGTGATCTAGGAGTTAAAACAAACTGAGGGCAGACTCACTTGTCCCAAATCTGTGCTGAGCTGACTGGAGAGATGCCTTTATCCATCTCTCATTATGGATGATCCAGACCTTCCAATGTGGGAGTAAGAGACTAACAGAAGGGTTTGATAGCAGGCTCTACTCCAGACTGCCACTTGATGTCCAAGTGTCCCTTATCTAGGCTCCCGGGTGTGCTATGTGGGGTATGGGCCTGGATTAACACCTTCTCCTGGGGAGCGTGGGGAAAATGCAGGAGACAGTTCATGAACAAGAGTCCGAGTGCCCTCACCCCTGCTTTATGCCACAAGGAGCGGCTTCTACTGTTGCCACCCACAGCTGGTGGTGCTGCCATTGAAAGCTAACCCTGGCTAATGCTTAAATATGGGTGCGAATGGACCCCTAACGTTTTTCTAGCTGCCTCAAGCTGCAATGCTGTCTGTTGTCTTCCTGAAAGTGGGATGCTAGTCCTCACCACCCTTGTCTGCCTCTCTGGCCTTGCCCTCCCACCAGGAACCCCCCGGCTCCTGTCTGGTGTAGCATCTGCACCTTCTGTACGCATTGACCCCTTCGGCCAGCTTCAGGGTGGGTCCCGGGTCATCAAGGTGGGCACTTCTTGGAAGCAGGTCTACCAGTTCCTCGGCGTTCCATATGCTGCCCCGCCCTTGGGAGACAATCGCTTCGGACCACCAGAGCTCTTGAACTGGACGGGCTCCTGGGATGCCACCAAGCCAAGGTATGGAGCAAGTGGCACCATTTTGGTGAATGCCCAAAGAAGGCCTATCCTAGTCTGATCTGTCATGTCAGAGCCAGGCGTTCTGGTTAGAGCAGGAAATGGGACTACATGTTATTAAGTAACACCAGTGCTGGCCGGCACAGGTGCCCCGGCTTCAATGGGTCAGCGCTGCTTGGCTCACAGGTAGGCCGTCTGGTGAAAGGCCCACATGTTCTGGTCCAAGCAGTGACTCTGGAACCCAGGCCAAGGAGGAGCTTCATTTAGCAGCATGAATCTATCAAATTCTCCTTGGGCGTGTGTGTCCAGAAACACAAGGCTGTTTCTTTCTCCTGTCTGTCTTTCTGCCATAGGGTCTCACTATGTAGTTCAAGGCTGGCCTTGAACTTGAGATCTTCTAACCTCAGCCTTCCTGAGGGCTTGCTACATGTGTGCTGCCATGTCTGGCCAGACATCTCACATAGTGGGATTGAAAATGCAACGTGATAGGAAGGATGAGAGAGCCAAAGAAAGGGAAAACCCTGGAACAACGTAAGGAGTTCTGTTTCTCCTTCCCCGTCTTTCCTGAGCTTATTGTGGCGGTATTTTGTTTATGATCTAACAAACAAAACTTGCCTGAAGGTCACAGGGCAAAGCTAGCCACACTAGTCAGTCAGCCATACAGGCCAGGCAGTGGTGGCACGCACCTTTAATCCTAGCAGCCACACTAGTTTAGCCATAGAGGCCTGGCGGTGGTGGTGGTGCACGCCTTTAATCCCAGCACTAGAGAGGAATATAAGACAGTGGGAGACAGGAGCTCAGGGTCTCGGTCTGCAGTCACGCTGAGGACAGGATTACCCAGCCTTGGTAGAGGTGAGATCTCTCTAGTGGTTGGCTGCTTTGCTTTTCTGATCTTCAGGCAAGCTTTATTTGTTAGATCATAAACAATATATCACCACAGCTTACCACTCAGACCCCATAGCATCCCCTCATCAAGCCTTTCATGTCAAGCTTTGGCACATCATGAATACCACTGGAGTATTTTGTGAGACACATACTCAGCCCCATGGGGAGCAGCCACTAGGTACCTCTGCCACCTACATTCCCTCCTTGGTCCCCGTGGCTCTGTCCTCAGGAGCACTCTTCTCCATGCCCTCAGTGGCCACTCTCTGCCTGCCAAGCAAGTGCCTATTCCCAAAAGTATAGTATGAGCAAGGGTGTAGTGAGAGATACACCCAGCCTCACCTGTAGCACTGACCACGCCCATTTGGGTGTGGTCACAGGTGCATATGTGAGCATATGGTATTTGATCTGGGGTCCAGGACAGGCTCTCTCTCTTGGTTCTGTGTGTGCTCAGGGCCACAGGTGCGGCTGGGTGGGTCTCTCACTACATGAGGGGCTCCTGAAGCCCTGTGAGAAAGATGACAAGGACCACCAAAGGAAAATGCAACAGATTGGAGTTGAGTTGACTCCACCAATAGGAAACCCCAAACCCAGAGGCACTAATTGAAGATCCTTTCTGTACTAGGATGTACCTAAGGGACAGAAAAGGTAGGTGACCACCCAGATCTTGAGTAGACAGTGGCTACAGAATTCTGTCGTTGTAACCCAGGATTGGTAGCACTGGAGAATGCGTCCAAATGGCCTTGGGTAGATGATCCTTGTGTGTGGCCATGAGGAGGGGTCCCAGATGAGCTCTTGTACAAGGGGCCACTCAAACTGATACCCCATCCTCATCCCTGAGGCAGAAGGTCGGTCTGACACCTCTTCCCAGGGCAGAGTCTGTGCGATGTAGCAAGGAAAGGCTGAGGCCTTGACAGCTCCCACTCTCCTTCCCTGGCCTTGGTCCTCTGATTAGCACATATACCTCTGGGTGGCAAGTTTTTCCGCAGTCCAGTGGCCAGAGAAGGTCACAGACATGCTGCTATTCCTTCTACTCTCTGGCCACACCTATGACCTGGAGCTTCCTTACTGCTCCAAAGCTACAGCAAAACCAAGCCTTTGGCTCTGGCTGTGAGTGGTGGGTATGGAGGAGAGGGAGTAGGGGCAGGTCCCTTTGAGATTTCTCTGAAAAATCCCATGCCTTATTTCTTCTCTTCAGGGCCAGCTGCTGGCAGCCAGGTACCCCTACCCCAACGCCTCCCCAGATCAGTGAAGACTGCTTGTATCTCAATGTGTTTGTCCCCGAGGACCTGGTGAGTTTAGAAATACTTGTTGTGCTTCTGGTGAATAACTCCCTTTAGCAATCCTGCCCCCAACTTTCCTGGGCTCTATGGAACCTGTGCTCCTACGGTATTGTCCTTAGAGGCACCAAGCTCCCTTTATGAGAGCCGAAAGTGAACAAGGGGCCTTGGAGCTTTCCAGGCAGGCTCTTATGTGAGATGCGTGGAGATAAAGTGTTAGGCTATAATCTTGAACACGATTCTTCCTTTATCTGCTTAAAGAGCTATTGCTGTCTTGGGGCTGAGTGGCTGGAGGACCACAGCCCATGAGAGGAAAAAAGGGTACATGGAGGAAGTGAAACTCCAAGTCTGTCCTGAGCCTTGTTTCTACCTCTGCTCACCTTGAAACATTAGCACAGTACCTGAACTTCCGTGAGCCTCCATTTTCCTGCCTATGAAAAGGGGTACAGTAACCCATCAGGGATGACATCACAGCTTGAGCCACACATGCTTTCTTTTCTCGAAACCTGGAAGCTTGAAGTCCGAGATCAAAAGGCTGGCTTCCCCCGTTGCCTGTCTTCTTGGCTTGCACCCTTCATTGAGAGTCTTTCATGGCCTTTCCCTTGTGTATGACTGTGTACAAGTCCCTTCTCCCAAAAAGGACACGGTTCCTATGGGAGCAGAGTTCACATATTGGACCACAGTCTCCAGGTGTTACCACTTTCTGAGCTAAGGTGTCAGGGTATGAATTTGGAGGATAAAATTCAGCCCCTCAGATTAGGTTAAGTGTGTGCTACAGCAGAGCTGGCAGGGGGCTGAGAGTCTGGTTTCACGGATGGCCGTTGCCCCTCACGCAAGCTCAACTTCAGCCTCCTCCATCCCTCCAACCCCCTAAGGTCTCCAATGCATCAGTTCTGGTGTTCTTCCACAATACCATGGAGATGGAAGGCGGTGGAGGACAGCTGACCATTGATGGCTCCATCCTGGCTGCAGTCGGCAACTTCATCGTGGTCACTGCCAATTACAGAGTGGGCGTCTTCGGCTTCCTGAGTTCAGGTGAGCTGCGGATCAACCAGCCTGCCATCACTATAAGAGACACCTGAGGCAATTTGCCTAAAAGAGGAAGTATCCATTTGGGCTCACTGTTTTGGAGGCTCTGGTTGGTCCACAGTTGATTGCCCCTGTTGCTTTGGTCTATGCTGCATTAGCTTAGCATGGCAGCTGGGGTTTCAAGGCACCACTATACTCCTCATGGCCAGGCAGCAATAGAGAGATAGGTCTCCTTTGAGAGGCTGAAAGGGGTCTACCAGTAGTACCATTGCAGAGCCAAGTCTTTAGAACACAGGCATTTAGGGGCCTTCTGGATCTAGCCTGGAGCAATGAGGCCGCCCGCCTCTGAGCTGAGAGCCGCTCCCTGCACAGATTCACCCGTCTTCTCCAAGCCTTGGAACCACTCTGCCCCTGCTCCTCCTGTAGCCCAGCTAGACACATTTTTGAGATCTTCCAGGGATGCTGCCCCAGTCCCGAAACTCTTTGAGTGGAATAATAGTAACTGTCATTTGTTGAAAACTCGCTATATGTCTGAGACTGTCCTGCTACACGGCATACGTTATCACCTGGTGTGATCTAAGGTGTCCCGAGTGTGCGCATTTGAACACATGTGCACACTTAGAAAGAAGACTGGGGACTGAGGAGGTTAGAGACTTGGTTAGGAAACAGAACTGCCACGATGGACCATGAATGCCCTTTCCTTGGCTAGCTCTGAGAATTGAAACTCCTCTACCGCGTAGAGGCCACTGGAATTGGTACAAAGGCCATGTGGGCGGAGTGACTCCTTCCTCTTTTATTTCTAGTCTCACTGCCTCATGCACTGCCAACCACTTCTGCAGAATAAAGTCCCAGCACAAACACCCTCTATCTACCTTTATCCACCTACATATACCTCTGTGATAGGGGCAGGTTGGTCACTGGTGGAGAGGGGAGGGCCTTAGGATCTGAAGAGCTAAGGCCAGTACTGTACTGACCTTAGACCAACTCTCCCTTTCTCCCAGGTGTCAGATCCCTCCTCTATGAAACAGGAATGGTTTTTGCTCTGCTCTCAAAGCTTCTGGAAGGGTTAAGATGGTGCATGAAAGAGGTTTCAAAAGCCCATAAGCAGAGGCGCTGAGTCCCGTTCCTGATTTCTGCTAAGTCCTGGCATATTGTCAACAATGCACAGACAGGTGGCAGGCAGGAGGCCCAGAAAGAATGTCAGTGGGGGGGGGTGGCCTGGGGACCACATGGCATAAGGTCTTAAAAGCCACAGAAAAGGCACCGGACCGGCCTGTACAGCCGGCAGCTGTTAGTGTGGAGCATCTTAAGGCTGAGGAGATGCTTATGAGATGCAGCTGTGGTTTCCTTGGAGTGCCAGGTTCAGCTGAGAGCCATGGGCGTGAATGGGGTCTTCTTCAGTCTCCATCCCCTGAGGGATGCTAGGTGTGTGAGGAGGACAGCGGTGTGGAGCATGGAGCTGTGCAAGTTTTGCAGCAGGGTGAACGATTGTTCACTCGTGGAATTTCTTTTTAGAAGAGGAAATTTTTCTGTTAGGTTTCCTGTCCTCTATTCAAACACAAAGCTGTTTCTCCGGAGCTTTAGGGGGCGTTCGGGGCTTAGCTGACGGAAGCCAGTCCCAGAGAGCCCTTTCCAGACAGAGCTAACTTTGGCTTAAGGCTTCTCTACACAGCAGAGTGACTTTCCACATGTCCTTTGTCCTGAGGGGCACCGGGAATTAGGATTTCAGGGAGAGCTCGTACCCTTCTGGAGAGGCGAACTCATTTTGACCTCTGGTATAGGTATCTGAGGAAAGGTGACAGAAGCTTCCAGAGCATCCATTCTTCTTCATGACTCACCTGATCATTTAAAAAAAAAAAAAAGACAGAAACTATAAAACTATCAGCAGCCAGAGAGTTACACTTCACAGGGCCTCTCCTCACCAGACATCCTGCCTGGATTTCCTCACACAGTTCTCAGGCAGCACTGGGACCTGCATGTTCTGCCATTTTTCCACGGGAAAGGTCAAGGCTCACAGAGACGGGGGGGGGGGGGGGGTGGGGCTAGCTGACCATCCACGGATGGTGACAGAATTGTCAATGAATGACAACAGCGGCGAGAAACACTGGGCCACAGGAACTACTCTGGACACCGTGTTCACCTGGGTTCCTCTTCTGCTGTCATTTAGCCAGGGATGAACCAGGCACCTCACAGCACAGTGACCTATCCCCTGCCTTTGTGTGCGTGGGGAAAACATGCACTGGGAGGTGTGTACAATAGGAGCTGTGTGCATGGAGAGTACACACATTGGGAACCGTGCCCCAGGAGTAGTTACTTTCTACCTTCTGTGGTGACATTTTGTTTATGATCTAACAAATAAAGCTTGCCTGAAGATCAGA